TGGGAGCATTGGGACGACGTGCAAGAAGGCGGCATTGGCTGTCGCTGCAGGTGTGATACAGACGTCGTCGATGTTGAGGGCAAAGAAGGATCATGTCTTGCAGAATGGGTCGACGTTGCTGGCGGTTGGGAACATCCATACTAGGCCACTTTAGACTTTAGCTGTCTTGAGTATGGAATCCAACATACGGATCATGATCAGCATTCGAGCACTGCGATTATCGACCAAACATCAACGGCGCTTCAGGGGCATAAGCAACTTCATTCGACTATGTCAAAGGGATTATTACACATTCGGGGACAGGGAAAAGTAAAAGAGGGTGCGGCGTTTTGTTTTTGTCCCGAGCATCCTGCCTTTGCTTTTGCCATGGTCGGAATACTCGTCTAACATGGTACTAAAGGGATATGGCACGCGCATCGTGGGGAATCTGCTGCATACACGGTTTGGGAGGTCTTTGTCAAGATGATCTGATAGATGATGGATTTATATTCTACTCTAGATGTCAGAGAGCCCTTATACTAATGATACCTGTAGGATGAGGACCAGCTCATTCTACAACCACGGAGAAGTGGTTTTGTTGCAATGTCTCATTTGGTGGTATTATGCATAAGTGATCGCCGTGACCTTAATTTATGGTTCTTACTGCTGCAAACCTTAAGCCTCCTGCAGCCATCCCTTGACTAATGGTGTAGATTCCGTGGTAGCGTAGGCAGATTCCCAGGGGCTGAGTGGACGTGGCGCTGGAGGCCCCCGTCTAGAGAGCACTGCCATCCAGACTTTCAGCTACAATTCTAGACCCACCAGTTCATGGAGGGCTGACAAAGTCCTATGTATAAGAGTCCTAGAAACGACAAAGAGAAGTCTGTGTCAATATTATTTAATTCACGAGTTCTTCTCTATTCTCATCGCCATACAACCCGTATCAGTTTCGGTCACAATGGATACCTTAAATCGTGTCTCAGAATATCTCTTCGGCCCTGCGATTCCTCATCGAGAACCATGTGGTCGAGCAGTACAAATCATGTCGGATCTTCATCTGGAGCTGAATCGACAATACACAACGTTTGACTTCCCTGCCAAAGCACCTTTTCTCATTCTTGGGGGTGATATAGGCCGTTTAGTCGACTACGACATGTTTCTTCCTTTCCTCGCACGCCAAACTGAACGCTTCGAGAAGGTTTTCTTGGTTCTTGGCAACCATGAGTTCTATGAGATGAGCTATGAGGACGGTATTGAAAAGGCGAGGGAGCTGGAGAAAGAAGAGTCTTTGAAAGGAAAACTTGTGATCCTAGATCGAAATCGCTGGGATGATCCAGATTCGAAACTCACAATTATCGGCGCAACATTGTGGTCGAATATCCATTCTTCAGCAGCTGAGACCATTGCCCTCCGAGTGTCAGACTACAAACTCATCAAAGACTGGACCGTTGCCAAACATAACGAGTGTCACGCCCGGGATCTCGCCTATCTCACAGAGACTATATCGGAGCTCAACAACCTTCCAGCAGAATCTCGAAGAAATGTCTTGGTAGTGACGCACCACGCACCCTGTGTAAAAGGGTCTTCGAGACCAGAACATGCGAATGCACCGTACAAGACGGCGTTTTCGACGGATGTTATCCAGGCGAGGGAGTTTATGCGTGGAGTGCAGGTTTGGATGTTTGGTCACACACATTACACGACTGAGTTTGAGAAGGGTGGTGTGAAGGTCGTTGCGAATCAGAGGGGGTATGTTTTGGGTTACAAGGGGCCGACACTGGAGAATACAAAGGGTTTTGATGACGAGAGAGTTGTAGAGTTGTGATTTGGGATAGATTGTGTTTTTACACTTAGGTGGTATTAGGGATCTGCTCTCGAAGAGCTTGGAGTTGGTATACTGAGTTGGTTCATTACATGATTGATTATGGCCCCGTTTGTTTGTATACAATATAGGCGTCCAAGGCCGACTATATATCCTGAGTATTTGTCGTCAGAATAAGATGATCTGTGGTTCATCTCGAGCGAGGAGGTGTCAATGCTGGTTTAGTAACCAGTAACTCCCAGATGGATGAAAAAAGGATCGCAGAAGATCTGATATACCCAGTTACTATATTCGCAGGCTTAAGAGTCGTTCTTCTATTATGTCAAGGCACATACTTGAGCAGTACACGTCTCTCAAATGCTTTGGTAATGGGCTGTGTCAAAACAAAGCCTCAGATCGTGCCTTGCATGGTATTTAAGCATGATTAGTTAGCTTCATAACCCTTGCTGTTCTTCTTCCATCTTCAGCTAGTATTGATCAATTGCGGGTTGGTTGTATGTTTCATATCCCTGTTGTTCTTGGCTAAGACTGTGCCTTGGGCTATGCTCGAAGACAAGGATGATGAAAGCACGAGAATGTCAATTTATACGAACCTACAGTTTACCACCTGATGTTATATATCAGTGTTGCCCTCACTGTCTAATCGAGCTTGTATATCGTCTCATCCTCACGATTCCGCGACGTCAAGATTCTATGAGGATTCTACTAGGTAGTTCTTCATCCATATATACCCACGATGTCAGCCAGAATAGCTAATGTCTACTGCAGTCATTTTCTCAGCACCAAACTAAGAAACACTTTATCTCTCTTGGAAACAGTTGTGCTAGACTTCAATAAGTCAAGCAGCTCGATTTGCTGGTTGTTAACAACGAAACTGGGCGTTTTGAGCTGAGACAACGAAAGTCAGACATAAAGGTTTACACAACCCTCGTTCAATTACTGGCTTTACAAAGTTTATCTGGGACGCCTTGAACATAGCTATATTTATCGTTCAGATGGGCATCATAATGATTGAACCCCGTGGTGCGAAAACAGACGATAACCCAGCGAGGTTGGCGACCGACGGAATGTTTCTATTTCTTGTTATCGGCATGCCTCTCATTGCATTATTTCTCGGTTGGGTTGGCTGCTTGGCTATTTACAGACGCAGAAAGAGGAAGAGAATTGCTAAGCGTGCTGCTAAGGCGAGAGAAAGACTCGCGAGCACACCTGGAGATACGCAAAGCCTTGGGGGAAGGACTCTCTGCAACTGATTGTCGTTCTTTCGGTCTACAGTTGCTTCTTGATAGATGTAGCATGGGATTTAGATGTTCAGGTGCAGGAAGGGCTTGGACTCTGTGGTTAATGAATGGAGAGGGCGTGTAAGTGATATCTTGGAGGGGGTTTCAATGGCTGCTTCTTTTTGGAAGGGCGAGACCTTTGCCACGGGCTTATGAAGATACAAACGACTTTATGAAGTCTTCTAATAATACATTAATTATTCTCCATATCAAATTCGAAAATGTTGATTTTAAGCCTGTCGTCGATTATTTATATGAGTTGCAGCCTGAGGCATCCACAGCCCCAGATTGGCATCCTTGCGCTAAGCCCTTCAAAAAATTGGTGACCGTCGACTTCGAGATCGCCAGCATCAATTCCAGACTCACGGCCACGGCGCCCTCTCCACGACGATGCCTCCTCGAATTTCACCCTTCAGCACGCCGATGTGCTGCAGGACAACTGCCAATGCACCCGCGTCATCGCTGACCGCCTACCTCTCCGGCCTCTCCCTCCAGACCCGAAATGCGTCTATCCTCAGCAGTCTCGCCAACAACCCCGGCGCCGTTCACCAGAAGAAGCGAGTTGGTCGTGGCCCCTCTTCCGGACACGGAAAGACATCTGGTCGTGGTCACAAGGGTCAGAAGCAGCATGGAAAGGTCAAGCCGTGGTTCCAGGGTGGTCAGACACCTTTGATCGTCAAGCATGGTCGAAAGGGTTTCAACAACTTGTGAGGCGCCTACAAATATCTCGACAAGATATTGAAGAGTCAGGAATTACAAGAGCTCAATTGACTAACAACCTTGTAGCCGGGCTCCTCAGATGTCGGAAGTCAACCTGGACCAGATCCAGGTTTGGATCGACCAAGGACGAATCGACCCCACCAAGCAGATTACACCAAAGGAATTGATCGAGTGTGGCATTGTTGGAACTGTCAAAGACGGCGTCAAGGTCCTCTCCCGAGGTGCGGACATGCTTAAGCAGCCTATCGATGTAATGGTCTCCCGTGTTTCTGCTGGAGCTATTGCTGCTATTGAAGGTGCTGGAGGCAAGGTCGTCACCCGATACTACACCAAGCTGGCCATAAAACGACTCCTACGAGGCCAGTCCGTCAACACAGATAAGCCTCTACCTCAAGGATTGGAGCATGTCGATACTGTGCTGGCCGCAGCCCGCGATGCACCCTTCCGGTACCGATTACCCGACCCTACTAGCCGTGAGGACATTGAGTACTATCGTGATCCCGCACACCGAGGATACTTGAGCCACCAGCTTGCGCCAGGAGAGTCGCCCAGTTTGTACTTCAGGGTGCCTGGAGTGCACAAGATCAAGAGCGAGGTTAAGAAGGAGAAGGCAGCCACTGAGGAGACCCTTTTCTAAGAGTTCTCAAGGGCATGTGATGAATTGTATTATAGTGACCGAGTATAGACACTTGGATGTGATAACAAGCAATGTACAAACGATTGAACTCATGCTCTAGTGATCAGCCACAGTTTTGACAGGCTGTGGCGTTTCCAGGAACATCCAATTCATTTTAGCCGTTGCATGCGTCGGGGAGTACGTACCTCACCCATGACGCTCCACAATAGCTCCGTCCGGTTTAAGTTGATGTCGCAGACCCAGGTCTTCTCCACTCGGAATGACTTCACCAACCTCCCAGTTGCCTCTCAATTCGCGTGTATTTCGTCGCTAGAGCTTCTGTATTGCTTATCGGGCTCGCTTCAACTCCTGTAGCTGCAGCTTTGTTCCATCGCAGGCTCGGCATCGCGCATCCAACTCGATTGCGCTGTATATCGTCCTCTTCGCGGCTTCGATTACGAATCGCTATCTAGACGACCGATCTACGCTCTCCACGAGTAACCGCGACTCGGCTGATCGACATCGGCGAGATTGATACGCGCCGCAAGATAATCTTACATTCACTGCTCGCCTGAGAGTCATAATGTCACTTTTTGGTTCATCGCCGACGGAGGACAGCCCAGGTCTGGGTTCGTCTACTGGTCCAGCTCGTCGCGGCGGTGCTGGTCTCTTCGACGATGACTCTGGTTCTGGAACTCCAAAGCCATCCAACAGTCTCTTCGCTGACGACAACGACTCCCATGATTCACCTTGGGACATGCCCACGCCGCGCAAGCAGCAGAGCAGAGCCGATCTCATCCGCAACCTCCTCCCCGGTAGCGACGTGCCCGATGCTTACATCGAGACCTTCGATATAGTAGTGCGCGAAGATGGCAGCGGAGGTCAGGTCACTTCTGGTGGTGTCGCAAAGCTCTTTGCTACTGCCAGACTTGGTGCTGATGCCCAAGCTCGCATTATGTCCTTGGTAGCTCCCGGAGGCGGGGATGTCCTGCTGGGTCGAAACGAGTTCAATGTGCTGCTGGCTTTGGTAGGCCTTGCACAAGAAGGCGAAGTCATAAGCCTGGATGGTGTTGATGAGCGCCGAAAACGTAAGTAAACATATCTCTTCGCATCACATTTTGCATGATTACAGTATTTTCCCCTCATGTCAATCGCTTGCCTGCCAAGACTTACAAGCTGCCCGCCCTATCAACTGGTCAATGCAATGCCATGGATGTCATATCAGTGCTGGCATATGCCCCCCGGCGCTTGGTGGGGACACTACTCAGCCAGCTAATAACTCATTTCCATCACAGGCCTTCCGCAACCCAAGCTCGCGGGTCTCACTGCAGAGCCCGTCCTACCTCCAGTCGCTGAACTTTCCGCGAAGCCGCCTCAGACACCTCCAAAAGATATTCCTCCTCCTCCTCAACAACAACAAACTCCTCCCGCGCAACAAACGCCCAAGCAATTTCGACCAGCCATGGATGACCCAGAGGATGATCCATGGGGAAGTCCTGATATGCACAAAACCCATGATCATGGTCCCTCCAAGTCCAACGGCACCCAGCGAAACAGCACAAATGGCCATGCCGGCTTTGGCCAAACACCACCGACGACAGTAATCGACGCTCCTCCTCTGCCTAATATTGCATCCCCTCAAGCCACCACGTCTCCAAACAGCCGGAGACAGCATTCCAGCAACTCGGTGACAACGCCTGGTGGATGGGGATACTTTGATGGAAATAACCCTGTTGTAGGCTTTGGGGAATCTCCCTCTGGGCCTGTCCAGAATCCCTTTGGTGGAGCTCCCGATCTGACACCAACTGCACAACCTCCAGCTCTTCAGCACCATACGAGCAGTGCTAGAGCCAGCCGTGGCGCCGAGGAGAATGTCGTTGTTGTGCTTATGCCGGAAAAGGAAGGTGTTTTCATGTTCCAGCACCATAATTATGAAATCTCGAGCATAAGGCGCGGTAGCAAGGTTATCCGCAGATACAGCGACTTTGTCTGGCTATTGGATTGCCTACACAAGAGATATCCATTCCGTATTCTACCGCTACTTCCACCTAAGCGTGTAGGTGTAAATGGCAGCCATCTGTCCAACGATGGGGCCTTTATCGAGAAGCGAAGGAGGGGTCTGTCACGGTTCTTGAATGCCCTTATCAGACACCCGATTCTGAGTCAGGAACAACTTGTCGTCATGTTCTTGACTGTTCCTACAGTAAGTCAATTCTGCCACCAAGTGTAAATCAACTGCTGAAGCTAATATCAGCATCAGGAACTATCTGTGTGGCGCAAGCAAGCTACCATTTCTGTTCAAGATGAGTTTACTGATAGAGCATTACCACCTGGTCTGGAGGACTCTCTGCCCGCTGAGCTCGAGGATCTCTTTAACCGAACCCGCAATGGCGTCAAACGATCTGCTGAACTTTACATTAACGTATGCAACATCATGGATCGTCTCGTCAAGCGAACTGAGGGCGTGGCTGCTGACCACGCTCGTATTGCTCTTTCTTTGGCCTCTTTGACAGAAACATCGGAGGATACTTACGCAACTGACACCAACGAGGTTCCCCTTCTCAATGATGGACTTGTCGCCATGAGCAAACACCTCAGAACTTGCCAGGCTTTGATGGAGGATGAGAGCCGTGGATGGGACGAGGGAGTTCTTGAGGACCTCAAGCGCCAACGAGATGCTCTTGTTAGCGTGCGTGAGATGTTTGAGCGAAGAGAACGATTGGACAAAGATAATATTCCTTATCTGGAGCGGAGGATTCAGACTAATGAGAACAAGCTTGCCAACTTGAGATCTAAGCCAGAAGGCGTGGTCAAGGCTGGTGAGATTGACCGCATAGCAGAAAACATCATCAAGGTAAGCCTATCTCTGTACGATCACAAGGGGAGGCGCTAACAAATAATTAGGATAAGGAGTCTATTGTCCAGCAACACAACCGCTCCATCTTCGTCAAGGAGTGTATTCGCGACGAACTCATCACCTTCCAGTCAACTCAGTACCAGGTCAGCCGATGGAACCAGGACTGGGCCGGTGAGCGAGTCAAGTACGCCGAGATGCTCGCCGACAACTGGAGACGATTGCTAGATGAGCTTGAGGGCATGCCCCTGGGTGACTAGAGCCCGCCAGAGAGTCACCAAGGATCATTTGCTACAGCGCACGACGAGCCTTTCGAGGACATCGCCGAGATCGTATGGGGAAACGTGGAGTGGTGATTGGATACAACCACGGGACAGGAGAGAAGCGATTGTGTGTTTTTAAAGTATATTTATGCGTGCAAGATGTATTTGTGTATCAAGACAAGAGCAAGATGAAGGTGGTTATGCATGGGTTGAAAGAGGAGTGTTAGTGGGAGACAGAAGCGCGTGGATGTGCTCGATACCCTTCATTCATTTTAGTTTCCAATCCTCGTTCACAATAGAAATCAAACCAGCCAAGTTTATACAAGCCGCTGCTCTTCACTGTATGGTCGTGTTGGTCCTTGCTCACAATATGCGATATGATAGTGGTGTTTCAAATAACGTAATATTCCTATTTTTATTTTTTGCTCTCCATGTCTGTCTTGGATATCTACCACTGATCTGTCACGGCACCGTGAGAAGCATCTCCGACCAACTTGGCATACTTGGCCAGCACACCTCGCTTGACTCTAGGCTCAGGGGCCTTCCACTCACTCCTTCGCTTCTCCATCTCCTCGTCGGTGATGTCGACATCAATGCGGTTTCTAATAGCATCGATAGTGATGACATCCCCATCCTTGACCAGAGCGATAGGGCCTCCGACCATGGCTTCAGGCACGACGTGGCCGACGATGAAGCCGTGAGAAGCACCACTGTATCGACCGTCTGTGACTAGGGCAAGATTCGAGAGACCAGCACCCATGATGGCTGCAGAGGCCTTCAGTTGTTCAGGCATACCGGGACCACCCTTGGGACCTTCATATCGAACGATGACGACCAAGTTGCCGTCGGATTGCTTGATCTCACCCTTGTTCAGGGCAGCGTTGAGCATCTTCTCAGTGTCGTATACACGAGCCTTTCCAGTGAAAGACAGACCCTCCTTTCCAGTAATCTTGGCAACGGCACCGCCGGGAGCAAAGTTTCCTCGTAGAATGCGGATGTGGCCGGAGTCCTTGATAGGGTTGTCGAGAGAGCGGATGATATCCTGGCCAGGGTCCAGGCTGGGCCAGTCTTCCACGTTCTCGGCGAGAGTCTTGCCGGTGACGGTCATGATGCTGCCGTCAAGAAGACCACGGGCGATGAGCATCTTGATAACGGAGGGCGTTCCGCCAACATTGTAGAGATCCTCCATGTAGTACTTTCCACTGGGGGCCAGATCAGCGAGGAAAGGAGTTCGGTCACTGGCGCGTTGGATATCGTCGATGGTCAGGGGTACACCAGCCGTGTTGGCCATGGCGAGGAAGTGAAGAACACCGTTTGTAGAACCACCCAGAATCATAGTCAGAACAAGAGCGTTCTCAAAAGAAGCCCGGGTCATGATGTCGCGAGGACGCAGATCCTTCTCCATAGTGGTTCGGATAACCTGAGCAGCGCGCTCACATTCACGACGCTTCTCAGGAGACTCAGCAGGGTATGAGGAAGATCCAGGGAGTGAAAGACCCATAGCCTCAATGGCAGTAGCCATAGTGTTAGCCGTGTACATGCCACCACAGGCTCCAGCACCGGGACAAGCATGCTTCTCGATATCATCCATGACATCAGAGCTCTCGCGGCCAGCCTCACCAGGATTCGACTTTGCGTGGAGTTTGCCATAGGTGAAAGCGCCAGAAGCTTCGTAGCATGTGCTGATGTTGATGGGCTGCTCAAGGAGCTTGGAGTGGCCCTTGCGAATGGTACCGCCGTAGATCATGATAAAGGGGCGGTTGTGACGAGCGGCAGCCATGACAGTGCCGGGCATGTTCTTGTCACAGCCAGGAATAGAGATGTTGGCGTCATGGTGCTGAGCGCAAGTTACAGACTCGATGGAATCAGCGATGATTTCTCGGGTTTGGAGAGAGAAGCGCATGCCTAAGAGGTGTGAGCTATTTGTGAATTTGGTTGGTGAGTGAGTTTCACTGACCTTCGCCTCCCATGGTGATGGCGTCAGAGACACCGACGGTGTTGAATTGCCATCCGATCATACCCTCCTTCTCGATAGAGTTCTTGACGATTTGGCCAAGATCGAGGACTGCAACTTTGTGAGTATAGATTCTCCAGCGTGAGGTTGTCTCACTTACGATGAGTGCTAGAAATCATTAGTATTCAGTATTTAGAGAGGCTTTCGGTTCAAAACTCACTTGCAAGGGTTTCCCTGCCACCACACGGTAGCAACACCGATTTGAGGAGCATTCTTCATCTTGTCCCTGTTGGGGACACCAGCTCCGTAGAGCATGGCCTGGTAAAGTCAGTGAGTTGCTGGGATATGGTGGAGGTAGGGGGAGACATACCTGAGCTCCGGGATAGTCATGCTCGCGAGTGATCTTTGTTGACCAACGGTTCAGAGCACCACCGGGAGGAAGACAAGGAAAGGGGATGTAGTCGGGGTCTTGTTTAGGGTCGTGTTGGACTTGGTCCGCCATGATGATGGGTTGTGGGAGCTGATCTCAGTCTGTAGTTTTGGTTGGTTGGTGGTGGAGTTCAGCGGCTTCTAGTGATCCAAAGGCTGAGAGACACGAGATTCAAGTCGAGGTGAAAGAAGCTATCTCCTGATGACTTCGGATTAGTTTTTTAAGGTAAAGGATAAAAGGCGATGTCGGAGAGAGAAAGAGGAAGAAAGGATGAGTTGAGCTGGTTTATGTTTATGTTACAGTGAAGAGAGAGGTGCCAAGGCGTAACCCCACGGGCAGTGACTGGCAGGCCTTACTTATATAAAGGAATTGAGTCCGGACAACAAGGTCTTTAGGCTTTTGGTCTTTAGTGAGGGTGACAGAGAACCGAAGACGAAGAGAAATTGACCAAAGACAAGCGTCGGATTAGACAAGAATTGTGGTGCGAGTTGCAATGCGTCTGCCGAAGAGCGGAGTAGTTTTGGTTTTAGTGACTTTTTTTTCGATCCAATGTAAGCGGAATGTCCTGTAGCCTGTAGCTTCGTACAAGTAGCCCTGTGACTTGAGGTAGTGTAGTAGTGTGCGGAGTAGAGTAGAGTGAGTGAGTGGGTGGCGTTGGCTCTTGTGTTGATCAGTTTGAAGGTTTACAATGTTACAAGTCACGAAGAGAGAGAGAGAAGAGAAGATGAAGATGATACGGGAGAAAGGAAGTGACAACGATTGCTGCAGTTGTGACAATTTTGTACTCTGCAAGCTAATGTAAGGTAGCTTCTGGCTCGTTGACAACACATGATACCTAGATAAGAAGAGAAGCCTTGTGAGAGATTGCGTCTACCTCGTGTTGTTGGATGCTATTCTCACTCCAAAAATCTTGGCTTGCCTCACTTATCCTTCCTTTGCCGGACCGAACAGCTCGGCATTCGCTCCGGATCTCGAATCAAAAGAGTTTCCCCATTCCCCTTCTCTTGATTCTTCTTTTCTTTTAACCCCTCTTGACTTGGTATGATCATGACATATCCACTTCCCGCCTGCTAAAGAGGCCAGCAACCAACCCCGCACATTAGTTTGGTAGAGCTTTGTCGAATGCCAACCGTCGGTTTAGCAATTACGGATCCCTCGAGCTTTAATAGGTCCGAGCTAGTCATTGCCAATCAACGAGAGAGACCAATTCTTCTCTGTCAGTGTCAATGTTGAGTGAGTGTTATGAGAATCAAATACTTGAAATACCGGAGGTCATCTCCACTCATAAACATGCTCTCCTCACGATATCTTCGTCCAGATCATAAAGCGTGGGGTTGAATATAATTGACCCCCAAAACAAAAACATGACAGCGGCTAAATGGCAAAACAACCTCCCCCAAGAACATCTACCTATAGTATCTTACAGTTACATTCAGCCGGGACTCCGCAGTCCCATTCGCTATGGATCCCCTTGCCATGATCCCCGATATGCCCCTCTCCGCGTGACATCCACCGGGGCCGAACCGCGGATCGGATACGGGGGACAAACACCGAAGTTTCGGCTGACACTCACCCGAACGGTGCTAACCACCGAGACAGACTTTTGTAATGTTTCGACGTATCAGATATATCACGTTAAAGTCCAAAATAGACAATGATCTCTCCATTCGTCGGTTGTTTAACTAAGAACAAACACTCACCTCTTTGCGTCTTCTCCTTTCATACCTACCTAGGTACTGTACCTCAGCTACTACAAGACAAACACAGTGTATGTACTCCCAACTCGTCAATATCATCCCCCATTATCATGCAAGTCATATTGGTCTATGCGTCTTGATACACGACCCGTCGTCATTGTGAAACAAAGACTCGGAAAACGCATTGAAACGCTGCACAGCCAAGACACATACACCCACCCAACTCACTCACTACACCACAGCACATAAGCATCACTCAGCAGTACCATGACAATTCGGGCTTTTGCTGCGAAATGATCTTCATGACACCTTGTACAGACTCTGCTCGGACGTATCACCGTCTCGAGCAACCTCAAACATATCCCCAACTAACACACGCTGATCTAGGTAGTTTCACCTCCATTACGCAAGCAACTATTCAACGCTGTCATGTCACAGTCCACATGAAACAATAAACAGTTCAAAGGTGAAGAAGATTATCAATTGATGCCTGCCAGCTTTTACCACTGACAGGGTGTATCTAATATTATCCTCCTCCCCATAAACCCCATCCGCTCAGTAGTAGTAGCCCGGGGGGGAGCGCCTTGAGCTTTGGCTCTTTTCTTTCATCACCGTAATTTCATCAGTCCTGAATACGAAGCAACAAGAGGACTGTACAATGTAAGGAAATCTGCCGAAATGGCAAGCCAAATAAAAGGGGTGAGAAAAAAAAAGCGTCAAAAAAACGGAAATTGAGACCAATGAAAAAATCCATGACTCTGTCCACTAACCCCGGGACAGGTCTTTACTCCAAGCATAGGACGGAAAAGATGTATAGTAGTTGTCTTCCTCCATCTCCGACAAGTGCTCTTCATGTCGTGTAGCAAATGCCGTGCATCTACCTCCTTTTTTCCACCTCAAGGATCCAGTTCGATACTGGATCCCAACCACTAGACAATACTTTGTTCATAAGATAAGAACGGTATAGGCGCACAGTGAAAAGAATGAAAGTGATGTACTTCGTGAAAACGAGTGCGGGCGCAAGTAAAATGCCCAAGTGTGTGGCAGATATGCCGTGTCGTGTGCGTGCCTCTGGTGGTAGAGAGAGCAACAATGCCATGATTGAAACGAAATGCGAAAAGCAAGAGGCATATCATACAATGAGGTGAGACCAAGCTGCAGTCTCACCTTGTCCTCATTCCAAATTACCTCGCCTCTGGACGGGATGAGGATCAAGACTGGGTGACGTGACCCGAGGAGTCCATGTTCAGTGAGCGGTTTGCATCATACCGAATCGCTCCTCTTCCAGCCGTCTCACGATATCCCGATCGCGAGCGGTTCGTGGGTCGGCGTCGATCCCAAGGATCGAAGAGATCCGTGTCTTGTCCTGTCCCTTGCTGTTGGACTGGCTCTGTGCATCCTTCTCGGCCTGGCCTGGGCTTGAGATGGGGGTGATTGGTGTCAGAGAAGAAGGGCTGCAGCAAGTGCCAGTCTTCCAGGCCTGCTCGAGAACAGTGGGAGACACTGAAGGACCATACTCGTTGGCGATGGTTGTCCAGAAAGACGCGCGGTAGGTTGAGTAGATGGAATGGAGGCGTGAAAGATCGACATGCGAGGCGTTGTGTGCAGGAGGTGAAGATGCGGGTCCAGGAGCAGGCACAACTGAGCAGTCAAGACGCAGAGGAGGTGTTGTTCGCTGAAGCGAAGCTGCGCGCTGGTGGTAGGCAGCATGTGGCATCTGAACAGGGGCGTCCATCGTCGTCGTATATGACTGGTTGGTGACAGGAGGTGGGAGGGACATGCGAGATGGTTTTGGGAGGATGGACGGTAGGCGAGTGACATCGCTAGGCCCAACGATGCTGGGGAGTTGAATGTGGCTGGCAGTGTTGACGTTGCAGGGAGGAGGGCTATAACTTCGTACACTTCCGCCAGGAGAAACTGAGCGAGAGACAGTCTCTCGTGCAGGGCTGGGGACGTTCACATGGTGAGTCTGGGGGATGTCGTTGGAGGCACCCGATGAGACTGAGGCAGCACGCTTGTTGCGTCGGTTGCTGCCATGAGAGAGCTGATGGTAGTGAAGACGGCAAGCCAACTCTGTCTTCTTGAGGTGGGCTGCAATGTATTTATATGGCATCTTCTGGAGACGAGTTTGGATGAGATATGACTCCTAAACTTGGTGTTAGTGATATGGTCCGGCATAACTAAAACAACATCGACTCACCTCCTCGTCGCTCCAAGCACGTCCACCGCCAGTCGACGAAGCCTTACGGTTCTTTGAAATTCCGTAGTCGTGGCGGTCCATGGAATCCCGAGATGGGATATAAGGAGCAGGGGCCTGAGCCATCTGATGTTGAGGCATGCCTGAGCTCATTGGTCGGCTGTTCATTGTGCTGCCTTGAAATCCGCAATGGGGTATCGTAAAGTAAAAGTCAGGCTGCTGAAAAGAATCGTCGTTTTTCGAAGAGTCGAAAGTCGTCGTATAAGCTGGTCTTGAAGAAGAAGCCAGGCCAAGTTGTGTGATCGAAGCGAGCGATATCGTTCGAATGCCGGATGTGCTGTGTAAGCCAGCGAGAATATTTAAACTCGAAAATACAGACACCGGAAAGGAAAGTCCTCAAAAGTTGATGAAACTGTTTCAGATAGAATGAAACAGAATTGTTATGAAAAAGGCGTTGAATGAAAAACCAATAACGGTTTTGTTGTATAGAAGGTAATGGGTTGTTGTTTGATGTTGTTCAAAGGAGTGTCAGCAGCCAAACCAGTTGGTCCAAGTTGGTACTGTTAATGAGTGTGTTGGAGCTAGCTGCGTAGAAGAAGTGAAGCAAGCAGAGCCGAGCCGGAAGAAGTGAATACAATTACAAGACGCAACAGCGTTTCTTGCTTGCAGAAGAAAAAAGAAAAGAAAAGATGTGAGGTTGAGGATGACAATCCAAAGTGAAGAAGGGAAAGAAGAGGAGGAGGAGTAGAAGTAGAAGTAGTTTATTAGAAGGGGAGGGGCAAGTGGTGTAGTAATAACAATAAGGTAGGTACCTTACAGTGGACGGAACGGCAAAGATTCAGAAACAGGCACAATAGACAGTTTACAGCGGCATGCATGCAGTAACAGGCTCACTAGAGTAAGGTACAGTACGTACGGGGCAGATTGCAACGGCCACGACGGTGGTGATGGTTCGGGCCATGGATGCATGCATGCATGCCCATACATGGATCAGGGCATAACAAGGGTTTGCTCTCGCTGTTGCTGCTGCCAGGGCCCCTGTTACATCTAACAGGAACAGTCTAACAGCGTTGACGAACGGGGGTGGGAGGCGTTCCAGGCCTAGTCGACAGGACAGGGCATGGGGGTAAATTCAGGGCCTGCAGGGCATGGCATGTGGCTTGGCTGGAGTTGGGATGCTGCAACATGAACAAAACCAAAACAACACATCCATCGCAGACGGAACAAGTCGTGGATGATGATTCATCTTACAGTTCCTGTCTGGGACTCAAAACAAATACTGCTACAACCAGATCTGAGGCTCTAAACGGAGACAAACTAGACGACACTATACTATTTTAGCCTGACCATAGACTGCGCGCGAGACGAGACTAACACAAGACAAAACCTGCAGTAATGAGACACCCAATTTCTGGGGTTTTGTGGTTTCTTTGTTTCTCTTTCGGGGCGTCCAAAAAAGAACCTCAGACGAAAAGAAAGTGAGCTTGTGAAGCAATAGCAACGATCGTAATATTACAGAAACGCCACCGATGACAATGGCTTGATACAAGTCTGCAGTAGTCAAGCCTCAATCGCGGTGAAGGTGAGATCTAGTCTAAACGGCTCGACAGATTAGGAATATGGAGCGAACACCACCGTCCGCCACTCTCATGAATCAATCAATCTGTTGACTAGGAAGATGAGATGACATGGTCCATCCCAAGCGAGCCTCAAAACGATCACTTACATGCTGCAACTGCAACTGCACAACACCACACAAGAGAAAAGTCGTTGTCAGTGACGGATACAAGATCCGCCGCCTTGTCAAATCAACTCACCCTTGCCTGGTAAAACGGTCACCACCGCACGTAGCGTCTCCCACTGTTGAAGAAGTGATCCAAACATCCATTTACCACCCCCGGTTCAGTACTCGTACAACGGATATTGGCAGGGCCTGTGCGAGTTTTAAACATATTCTTCGCCATCCTTGGCATCCGATCTCTACAGCACAGCAGCGCAGTACCTAGGAGAAACTGTCTCCCGTTGGACAAGACACGCATATACTGTGCACTGTCCCTAGGTACTGTAGGTTTACGGATGGCCTCTCTGGGGGTTTTCCCTTGTGTTCATAACCGAATAATCAATCACTTTTCTTATTCTCGATTTCAGTCAATCAGTCAGTCAGTCTCTCTTCAGCGGGGTCGTGTTGCGTTACATCGACCTCAGCTTCAGGTGCGCGATGCGCGTAATAATTCAAGGTGCCCTTCCATTAGTTGATAGCCTTGTCTGACTCTCCAGCGCAGCACACAAACTGCTTCTTGGCAGCCAACCCTGGCGACCAGCAGGGGTTCATATATTGCTTCGTAATTGGACGGTCCCTGATTTTGATTTGCACCTCTAGTTCCTTCAACCTCGTGGTTTGGCTGTGGCTGTAATAATCCCGCTCACTGACTATCCATTCGAGGCTAACATCCATCGCGCGCCGCTGCGCTGTGATCCGTGATCTTCTGGAGGACCGTGATTAGGTCCCAAGCTGTTGGCTGCAGCTAGGTAGCTAGCAGACTACGTACTACTACTACTGGCCCGGGCGTAGCAAGTAAACACGATCGGGGAGTTGGTGTTGTTCCTGATGCATAATTCTTGGTGTTTCTGTATAAGGCAGCTGAAATAAAGGCCGCTACAAGGAGATGCTCCCCCAAAAGCTTATCAAACCCCAAATGTTTAGTTAAACAAAGATCCGGTTTCGTTTCTCTCGCCTTCTGTTGGCTCCAGCAAGTAACTATCAAAAACTCGAGACGAGTCGAGTCCAGATACGTACATATTATCCTTTCTCGGCCGGCTTGCACGGTGTTTGGTGGAGGGCATGTCATTGTAACCCTGTCGGCTATCGTTTCGTGATAGGTGGGTGCAAGATATGCCGTCCGTTTAGACGATGCGCACATGCCATCGACGCCTCGATTCACAAATTTGCGGGACGACAAGCGCCTGTCTAATTTCAACATGCAGTGACTTGTTTGCACCTTTATTAATTAATTAGACTTTAGGAAGTTTTATCTTCATCTGTTGTTGTTTGGTAGGATCAGGGCAAAACAACTTGGACTCTGATATCATACATATCACTTCTTGACCTGAAGCATCAACATCACCCAGCAACTCTCTGGTCATGATGTTTCTTGTCTCAGAGTCACTATACACTACTACTCCAACCCATATAACTTTCCTTACCGTCGGTTTCGGTTTCTACCTTAACAGAGCCTACTAATCTCGCCGCTTCGTTAGCTGCCGCCGCGCCCCAGGCCCAAGGTTCAGGGATCCCCCCTTGAAACCCGCTAACGCACTGGCGTAATTTCACCTCGGTATCAGGGATCAGTCCAAAAGAGATGGACATTTGCGAACTCTGTGGACCGTCCTCTGCTGATTGGGCGGCTTATTAACCTCAGAATACTGGTTCTGTGCTTTCGACACTTTGTTTTTACCTTGTCTGTCGACAGACTCTGTCCTTATTCCTATTGTGGTCTTCTGTATCGTGTCTTGTCCTGGCAATGTGCCGTGCAGGGGAAACGAGCTGAGTTTGCGGCACAAACGGAAACATTCGTTCCCCAGTTACAGAAAACAAGAATGAGAAACACGGCCAAGCGAGACACAGGATGGACACGGATGCTTCGATCCCGCTGTCTTACGCTGCTCTGATCGTCGCCCTTCCTTGCAACTATGAGTGATTTGAATACGACTGAATCTATTCGTCTACCTATTCTTAGAGCCCTGGCCGACTAACACCGTGTCATGGCAAGATGATCACCAGGTGGTGTCGGGCGGTCAACCGGCCCTTGGTAGCGAAATGCTGCTGTAGAGTGTGACTCTGTGCGTGCGTGCGTGTAGGTAGTCGATCTCACTCCCCTTGTCCGAGATCTTTACGCGGCTTATGGAGTACCCCCCATGCATATCGTATTGCAGAGCATTGGATCCTTATGAAAATATGCACTAGCACTCCGTACCTGCAGCACGGCTCTGCTCTGTGGCGCTAAACAAAACTGCGAATATCTTCAAGCTTCAGATATCTGATGCACACTTCTAACATGACAGCGTCAAGAGAAACACATTCTCCAGCTCGGATCGAAACATTGCCGGAAACCGGGTGCTACTCTACCGAGTTGGCAGGAGGTCCCATGACGCCGGATAGCTGTCGTTCCTGTGTGAGCTCGAGTCTGAAGCAGCGATCAAACACGTCCAGATCCCGAAACCCCAAGATCTGAGATTCCCAGATAAGTTTTAGATAACCTCAGTTTTGAGTTTCTTCCATGCAACCTCGCATGCATACGAAATCCTGATACATAATTCCTCGACTATTACTATTTACTTAATCCTCCTCTCTTAAGCGCTAAACATTATACAGCTGTCAAATGTTTGCCAAGTCGCAACAGTTCCCTTCGTAGACTTACCTCGGCAGTGTTTCAGGAGTCTGTGCGGTTGAGATGGTCATAGCTGTTTGGGTCCCGGACTGGGGGCCCTCAGGCTGTCCTGAGAAAATTGTTCTGGAACTTTGCTCTGCACGGGGACAGAGGATGCAGCTATCGTGAGCTGTTAGTCAAGCGGCAAAGGGCCGTCAAAGGTTTTTTTATGGTGGGATATGCTTGCGAGAGAGCACTACGTACGTGTAAGTCCACAAAACACATGCAGGGTTCCGTGTTGATGATAATTTCGTTCAGGTTTTGTCTTGATTGATTGTGCTACTAAAGTAAACTCTCCATAATATAAAAAGACTTTTTTAAAGTTGTTTACGTGTTTTGTGAGATTGCTCATGACACCGGCAGATTCATCTCGTGTTTGTTGAAGGTTTCTACTCCATGGCTAAGCAATGCCTTGTGTTCTTTGACGCCACATGTCTATCTTGCAGGGCTGGCGTTTCAATATTCACCGTTATATAAGCTTGTAGCTTGAAACGCGACCATAATGTTTGAGATTCCCATCATCCAGACCTACTTCCAGTCCATACCCAGAAGTTCCCCTACCCATTGGAAGCGTAAGGTAGAAGCAAGGGTCCTGATCGCTTGGCCCTACGGACGGCTCAAGAGGTGTCCGAATATTTTGACCAGCTCTTGCAACCGGGGTGGTTTCATCCGCGGGCCTAACCCTCGAGGAACAAAGGTTTCGAAACTTGATAGTCTAATGTAACTCAAAAGACGGCTAAA